AGTTTCAGAAACAGGTCTGTAGATATTTTTCTGTTCTAGTGCGGCAATTCATGCCACATCCAGTCCTGAGACTGGCAAGTGTTGCTGTTTATTCCTGATCTCTGGGGTTCCTGACGGATTCCAAACTGGCATCTTTTAAAGCTAAAAATTATATTTTCTGCTTTAAAAAAAATAGCTCTCGCTGTTTAGCAATGCTGAGGAATATCGAAGCTACTGAATTCTACATAAGGTTAAGATACAATGGCTAAGTATGAAACAGTATGTCACGATCGTTTGCTTCAAAAATGAGCCAAGATGGAATAATTTTAAAAAACAACACATCAAAATTAGTCACAATGAACCGATACGGACAACACACAGTGTATTCTTAATGATGCACTCAAGATTATCTGTGTTACTATAACTGAGGTTTTAACATTAGTGGCTATTTTAAGGTATCCGGGATAATCAGGTGATATCTGTTGGCTCACAATGTTGATCCCTTCATCATACATTCACATTATTTAAGAAGTTATTGTTTTATTTCCACCCCCCTCCTTACAATGCTACTAATGTGCCTCTTATTGCTGTTAAATATTCCCAAGAAATATCCTTTAAAAGGGGACAAATTTACAAATGTTAGATCTTTTTCGATTGTTCTCTGCTATTATATAAGATTTCTTTAAGATCCCATTTTCTTCATTTCCACTCCTTGTACAACTCTCTCTCCCCGCTTGCTCTCTCTGTCTCATTTGACAGGCAAATTTGCAGACATTGCCTGAGGATAACAACCTCGTTTGACAGTCAATTAACCGTGAATAGTCAAAGCCAAGGCAGTTTGCATTACATAAATGGAAAATTAGATTCCTTTTTCCCAAGAAACAAAACCCTCTCCTTAAGACACTGCAATAGACAACTTAGTATCAAAACTTCTAATCACGTCTTTCCCAAACCCCTTGGAGACATTTAGCAATCAGTAAAAGGTGGTTTCATTTAATTTGTATAATGTAATTTTTGTAAATGTATTATACATTTTGTGTAGAGATCATTATCACGGAGATAATATAAATGTTGGCATAGATGTCATAAAACACCTTTAATGTCTTTCTGACAGATATTAAAAGCAATAAGCTGTGATCCTTTTTAATGGAAGGTTTCAAAGAGAACATTTCAATTATTGTCATTTTATGCTTTTCCAGCCTGTTTCATTGTGTAACCTGATATATTTCCGAAATTTCTGTTGAAATATGCCCAGCAATTAATATTCTTATTGCTATTAATGTCACTCTCTCCCCCCTTTGCATTTTTCTTAGTTATATCTACTTGGAATTGTTTTTATCTTTACCCTTGTACTAAATATTCAGACATTTGATTATGAATTTAAGTCTCTGTCTGCTTATTCTCTACATTTCTCGGAGCCTACCTGCTATATCTCTCCAGAAGTCTCCTCCTGAATGCTCTGAGTCTGTGATGAAAAAATTATGCTCCTTGTTCTTATCTAGAATCCAAACAAAATGCAACGCTTACAACGCTTTCACTAGTAAGAAGCAGCACATTCAAGATGGATGGTAAAATCCAGCAAAAAAAAAAATATATGTATTTATACATTCAACACACACACAGATGTGTTTTGGATGTGAATGAATATAATGTGAAATTGCCACCATATAGAGACTATTAGAATGTTTAATGGATTTTTTTAATTGAAATCATGGAAGTGATTTATTCTTGTTTAAGTCATGTGATAGAGAACAAAACTGATCCAATTGACAGAAGTGCAGATTATTACACTTGATGAAGGGGGGATTAATTTTTTCAAAAACAAACAACCAAACAAAAATTGCCCTTACCTGAAAAGCCGTTGTCCTCTTTTGTAGGTAAAATGACTTGGTTACTACCTTCCTTGCTTTTCTGATTCTACAAGAATAAAGAGAATTTAACACGCAAAATCAATGCGGGCAGACAGAGGAGAATATCAACAGTCAGCAGAAAATGGGCACCAAGAGAAGCGACTACTGTGGGATCTTCTAAGAGTTTCTCTTTGTTGCCTGCCTTTCTGCAAACAGTGCACATCCTGCACAGGTCCCACAGGCCACCTCTAGACAGCTTCCACCTTGTGCACTGTGGGCACAGGGCATCGTGGAGCTGGAGGTGTGTGGGTTGGCCTGGGCTCCTTCTTGTGCCAATGTCCCTGTGTTTGGGCAGACAGGAGCTAGCAAGAAGCATGCCCCTCTTCCATCCTGGGGAGCAGGGAGCCTTTCTGCACTAGCAGAGGGCGAGGTGACATCTGCACCTCATCCATTCCAGGATAAATACAGGAAGAAGAACCACCTAAACTCTCCCATGTCCCACCTAATCCCCCTCTGGATCATGTCCATGCACCTGAGGGTTTTTTTCCCGCAACACAGTTAAGGCCTTCCAGAGGCTAAATGGAGGGAAATAAAAACACACCGTCTCCCCATCTGCACTAAGGGAACCGTTGTGCACAAGCAGAGGGCGAGGTGACATCTGCACCTCACCAATTCCAGGGCTGCCATTTAAACACAGGAGGAAGAACTGCCCAAGCCCTCCTAAATCCCACGTAGTCCTGTAACCCAGTCTGGAGCGTATGGATGCACCTAAGGGTCTTTTTCCCCCCGGCACAGTTGAGGCCTTCCTGAAGCTCAACAGAGGGAAACAAAAACACCCTGTGGCCCTGCCTGGGTTACAGGGATGCACCTAAGGGTTTTTTTTCCCAGACTGGATCATATGGACGCACCTGTGGGTTTTTTCCCAGCACAGTTAAGGCCTTCCAGAGGCTCAACGGAGGGAAACAAAAACACCCTGTGTCCCTGTCTGGATCACAGATGCACTTTGGAGAGGGGGCTCTCTCGCACACACCTGCTGGTTTTTTTCTCTCAGTCTGGATCATAATGCTTCCCTCCCCCTTCCAGCACAGGTCAGGCCTTGCTTTGAGGGCGCATGATTCTCTGGTGGGGCTGCCCCCCCTGCCTTGCATTTGGCCCACATCTTTTCCCCTCCCTCCAAGTCCCTTGGTTTCAGTGGTCACTGGGGCAGCTTGGCCAGTGAAGAGCTGCGTGTGTGTGCACGTGCGAGTAAGAGAGAACCCCCTCTAAAACTGAGGGGGGGGTCTGTGTGTGCGCGCACGCAAGCGTGAACCCCCTCTCCAAACCGGTGTGTGAGAGACAACCTGCTCCACACAGATGTGTGCGCGTGTGTGCACGTGCAAGAGAGCCCCCTCCCCAAAGTGTGCATGAGACGACCTGCTCCAAGTGTGTGCGAGACAGCCCCCTCTCCAAAGTGTGCAAGGGACGACTCCGGAGGCGAGGGTGGGTGTAGGTGGGGGGGGGAGTGCGGCCCCCCAGCCGGAGCCTCCCCGGGCCCAGCGCCCGCCGGGTATTTACATCCTTGTAGCCAGGCGGCTCCTCCAGCGCGGGCGGGGGCGGGGGTGCAGGCCGGGGGCTGCTCCCGCCCTTGGGGCCGGCGG